AACCACGGGCAACAGCCACAAAACAATCCACTAAGAAGATTTAAAGGAATTACACAGGTATACTCTCAATTACCTAGCGAATCCACGCCTAATTGAACCAACCTCTATGTGCCTCTTCCAACCCGTCTTCACCTCGGAATTGTCTTTACGATGAGCCACCCCGGAATCCACCAAAGCTTCATGCTCGAATTCTTCAGAATCCACCGAAGAACAACTCTCTCTTTTGTATAGCAAACAAAAACAAAACCATTGATGTACTCTCTTTAAACCACGAGTTGAATACTCAATAAAACATCAAAGAAAACTCACAAAGTATCCCCAGATATAAACCCTAGAGCCCAAAAAGAAGATTAGGAGTCGTAATCCTAAAATCTGACCCAACACGCGAATTTATAGAATCTGTCTCGCGATCTCCGCTCGAGCGCCAAACAGCCCGCTCGAGCGGCTTCAGCAAAATATGCGCGAAATATAACAGAGGTCCGCTCGAGCGCTGGAGAACCCGCTCGAGCGCAAAATCACACATCTCAGTACTTTTGCAGGCGACCAAAACTGCTGGAACCAGGGATTCTCCGCTCTAGCGGGGTAATGTTCGCTCGAGCGGACAGGCAATTTTGAATGCATTTTTGCATTTTGTTTCGGGGGCGCTGCCCCCTGGACCCCCGCGAGCTGACCGGGCAGCTCGATCCCCGTCATAATCAGCGAAGTGGCAATCTTGAAAGCATTAACATCACAAACTTCTCTGAAAGGCACAATTCAGGTTGGATTCGCATCTAAACACTCATAGTCTCACTGAAATAAAAGTGTGAAAATAAATACAACTGAAAGGAGTTTTGTCAAACGGGATTGCCAAGAAATAAAACCTAAAATGGCAAAGCAATACCTCGGCCCTAAAACGTAGCAAACCTCAAGAAATACTATCAATAGAACCATCCCCTAACTTCTCTATCAGGATGTAAAGGCACTTATTTGTTGACCAACGCAAATGTTTTTCCACTCCTCTCAGATTTTTCCAATTCTTGTAATTAGCTTTGATGTTTATCAAATGGAATAAGCTTTGGCTCCCACCGAATGGAATTAGCTTTGGTTCTTACCAAATAGAATTAGCTTTGGTCTCTACCAAACGGAATCAGCTTTGATGCATATCAAACGGAATTAGCTTTGGTCTTTACCAAACGGAATTAGCTTTGATGTTTGTCAAACGGAATTAACTTTGGTTTTAACCCAAAGGCTCAGTTTCAGAACGACTGAACGAAATTTAAATTTGGTTAGCATTCAAACATGCTAAGTGGTATAGCTTGGTAAAAAAATGTTTGGCAACTAAATTAGAATTTAGCCAAGTGGAATTGCTTGGTGGAAACCGCACTAATGTATCTTAAGTAAACATCTCTATTTAGCCAAGTGGAATTGCTTGGTGG